CCGCCAGCATGGCGGCCACCGGGTCCTGGGGCTGGCCGCCGCCCGCGGCGGCCTCCTCGGAGAGGGCGGCGGGCGCCGCCGCCGTCGGCGTCGTCTGCGTCTTCGCCTTCATGTTCGCCTTTGCCCTCGTCTTCGCCTTCGTCTTCGCTGCCGCCTTCCTCTTCTTCCTCGTCTTCGTTATTGTCTTTGTCTTCGTCTTCGCCGTCGTGCGTCGCGGCCGCCAGCGTCGCGGTCGTCGTCGTCGTGGAAGGGGAGGAAGGAGGAAGGAGAACGGAGGACGGAGTGAAGAAGTGGGGAGGGAGGTGGGAGGGACGGAGGCGGAGGGAATTGTGAGGGAGCAAGGTGGAGAACGGAGTAGCAGGGATGAGAAAGCACGGAGGGGGCAAGGAATGGGGGGTCTATGATGGAAAGGGGTAGGTGGAGGAGGGATGGCGAGGAGGGCGAACGAGGAGGATGATTGTTGGTTTACGCAGACGATGGCATGGGACGGTTGAGGAGAGTGAAGGAAACAATCATCAAGGAGGACAGAGCTTTGAGATAGAGGAAGAGGACGAAGGCAAGAGGGGGACATTGAGGAAGAGGAGGGATGAAGAAAGCGGTGGATTAAGTGAGTAGGCAGATGAAAACGGAGAGCGGCGGAAGCAGGGAGGAGGAAGATGGATGGAGGGGAGGGAGTTGAGAGGGGGAGAAAAGGAGACAAGACACACAGAGGAGGAGGAGGAGCGCTCTCAGGAAGCTGAGGGCGCACGATCTTTCCCGCCGGCAATCGCTCCGTTGAAACCAGCAGCGACTCGATGGACAGGAGGGTCGCGGAGGGATGAGAGCTGAAGCGAGCGAGGAAGCGAGACGAAAGAGAGAGAGAGAGGCAGGAGACCGAAGGGGGAGGGAAGGAGACAGAGGAGCCGGCGAGGGCTCTGCCCGCAGAGCCGCGCGCGCAGTGCCGCCATCAATCATGGGACCGCCGAGCGCGCGGCCGCGGGGCGCCCTCAGGCCAGGTGCGCCGCATCCACCGCCAGCAGAACCTCGCCGAGGCGCCTGCTGGCCTCCAGCGGGCCCAGGTTCACGGCCGCGGCCTGCCCGAGCGCCTGGCAGAAGGCCCGGCCCGAGGCCCGGAGCGGGCACTGGGGCCGGAGGGAGGACAGCTCCGCGCAGATGTCTCTCACCAGCTCCTGGAAGTCCGGGGTGGCACTGAGCCGCTGCCGCAAGCTCTGGAACGAGGAGCTCGCGCGCTCGGCGGTCACCGACCAGACCTCCTTGTCCCATCTCGCTATCAGAGCGCTCTCGGTGACCGTGTCGACGCCATAATAGCGGGTGGACATCGTCGTCGCGTTGATGAGCTTCTCCAGCGTTGTCAGATCCCCCAGCTTCTGCTCCGAGGCCGCGACCTCCAGGGCCTCGCAGAAGATCCGCGTGCCCTGCTGGAAGGGGCAGTCCCCGTCCTGGTGGCACACCGACTGCACCTTGGACCTGAGGTCGTCCCTCTTGAAGAACTTCCCCTTGAGCGCCTGCAGGGCCTCCGGCCCGGTGGCCATCCAGCTCTCGTAGGTGATCTGGTTGCCCAGCTTCAGGATGGCATCGAGGCGCTCGGAGGCGTGCCCCTCGGGCTCGCTGCTCTGCAAGGCGCTGGCCTCGCGCTGGCCTGCCAGAGAAAGCGTCACGCCACCCGCAGCCGCCGGGAACGCCAGCGCGAAGACTCGGCGCAGCGCCATCTTGCCCTGTCGGGGCGCGAGCGGGGGCGGCCCGAAACTGGAGTGAGTCTGTACTGTAGCAGAACGGACCTGCGGCCTGGCTGGCGGCCTTGAGCCCCGGGCTGCGGCCTCCTGCTGCTGGTTTTCTTCCTTGCGTTTAGCTGCGTGTGGGCACGGGCAAGGCTCAGGGCAGCCCCCTGAGGGCCAGCGGGTCCGCCACGTCCGCGGCTGGCACTGGAACGACGACGACGATGGGCGAGGCGCCAGCAATGTACAAGCGCAAGGCAACATGCGAGTCCACTGCGTAAATCCGCCGACCCTGTCGGCGTGTGGAAGAGGCTGTTCCGTTTCACTCGTCTTCGTCGACGTCGACGTCGTCGTAGCCGTCGCCGTCGCCGTTTCCTATCTTTCCCTGGGCCCGTCGCCGCCTCCTCAAACGAAATGGAGCAACGTCGTAACAAATTGAGTCGAAGGGAAACTCCTTCCGTTTGATTCCTTCCCCGCCAGGGGGAGGGCGGTCCCAAGGGGGTCATGGGGGGGTCGCGGGGGGGTCCCGGGTCAGAATACCCCCCCCCCCCTGGGGGCGGGGGGCAAACGCAGATCCAAGAGGCCTCCAAGACGGTCCAAAAAGATCGCCGAACGATCGGTCCAAGACGGCTTCACGGCCTACAGACGGCCCAAGAGGGCTGGAAGACGCCCTCAGAGGCCCCGAAGAGCTTTCTCAAGCGAGCCCCCAAAAAAACCCAAGAGGCAAGAGGCACAGGCCGTAAGGCCCTCGCAATGTGTATCCTTCGTTTGCCCTCGGCCCATGCCTATCTACGACTGCAGGTCGAGCAATGCCGCACTTCTCGACCTGCAACCTGCGTCCGTTGTTCCGTGCGCTGCCAATGCGCGGGGCGCTGGTGCCAACGCGAGCTGTTGCCGCCTGGTCGCAACGAAGGAACCAGGGTTCTGAGAGAAAGGCCCCGAACGCGCTTCGCGTTAACAATTCCCGCCCACGTGCCCTCCGCGAGTCCTGGGTTCCAGGACCCGCTTCCATTTATAAGGAGTAAGTGTACCATAATCCGTTGGGAGGGTACCCAGGTTAGGAGGGCAAAGAACACGAGGGACACATATAATGTATCCCATAAGTCTCGGACGAAACCACCCACGTGTTCAGGGACATCCCTAAAAACCGAGGACACATGTTAGGCCACGGATCCATTGTGTTATTAGGTTTGGGTAGTCAACGATGTACGAACGCAGGGCCACATGCGAGTCCACTCTGTAGCTATGTACCCTTCGTGTGCCCTCGGCCCATGCCTGTCTGCGACTGCAGGTCGAGCAGTGCCGCACTTCTGGACCTGCAGCCATCGTTCCGTACGCTGTCAGTGCGCGGGGCGCAGGAGCCGACGCGAGCTGCTGCCGCCCTCGTCGCCACGGGGGGAAGGCCCCAAAGGCGTTTCGCTCTCAGTGGCCGCCCACGAACCATCCGCGAGTCCCCGGGATCCAGGACCCGTCCCCCTGGATAAAAAGCATCCCGGCGAATCCTTTTGAGAGGTTGCCCAAAAGTGAAGACGGCCAGCATCCTTTGGGATGCGAGTGGTTTTCGTTGCCCCAGGTGTCTCAGACGCAGCCGCCCCGCGTTGTTACAGGGATACATATATATATATATATATATATATATATTATATATATATATATATATATATATATATTATATATATATATCACACTGTCTCTCAAAGCGGCCTTCACGGAAGCGGCGGGTTTGGCAAAGCCGATTCACTATCTCGCTGAACAACGTTTTCAGACAAGATGAAAAAGTGTTCCAGCCGCTGCGAAGGTATATGTCACGAAGCGCTTCGCGAGCTGTGGCACGCGCAAATCTGACATTCTGAAAAAGACTCCCCTCATTCATGAGAGGGCGTGAGCTCAGCTCCCAGGGCGGCAGGCGGGGACAGGGGGGCGAGCAGAAAAAGGGTGGCTGCGGACGCGACCTGTCGGGGGTCACGAGTGTCCGAAGGCCTCCCCCCTGTGGAAAACGCGTACTAACTCACATTCACACTGTCTCTCAGAACGGCCTTCAAGGAAGCGGCGGGTTTGGCAAAGCCGATTCACTATCTCGCTGAGCAACGTTTTCAGACAAGATGAAGAATTGTTCCAGCCGCTGCGAAGTTATACGTCAAGAAGCGCTTCGCGAGCTGCGGCACGCGCAAATCTGACATAACAAACAAAAAAACTCCCATACCCATATGATGCCCAGGGTGGTGGCGGGGATGTGGTCGGCAAAGTTAACGATACTGGCGAAAAGGCACTCTTGAGCAGGTCTGGCAGCTTGCGGCCAGCGGCAATTGCCTCTCGCCTCTGGCGTGCTGTCATGTTGCGCAACTGTCGAAGGAGCGCGGCGTGTTTTTTTCGCACCCGACTGAGGCAGGGCACTTCCATTTTCCACGGTCCTGAACCTGCTGGAGGCTGAGCTTGAGATAGGCGTCCGTAGAGGGGCCAGCGTGGCGGAAGCAGTGCGGCACGATCCTGAGGCTTTCAACCCCAGCCCCTCACATGCGTTTTTGACGGCCTTCTCGTAAAACGGCAGGGTGGGGTGTCTGAAAATACGCTCGCCTTCGCGAGCGGAGCTGCGCGAGAAAGTGGCGACATTTTGACAAAGGCGCGGTCGAGGATGCCAATTATCAAGGTCTCGTCTTGCTCGCCCGACTTCGTTTTGCCAGCTCTCGTGCTAGGGGCCAACACCAGGCCCCAGTCCACATAGCGAAGGCCACGCTGCAGCAGCGTTGGCAACATATCCTCTTTCTTGATATCCAGCAAGGTGCCTGGTCGCACGTAGGTGTCCACTCGTATTGCCACCGCCAGTGAACACCAGAAGTAGAAAGCCTGATTCTTGGGCAGCATCCATCGAGCCATCAGCCAGACGGCCTCGATCGGACAAGGGTCCAAGATGCGACCTGGCACCTGCCGCATCCAGCCTCTAAGCGCTGCTTTTGCTCTGGGTAGCACATGGCCGCCTCGGCCGAGGTGTGAGAGGTGCAGCAGTACGTAGCCGTACAGGGCCCACCTGCCCAGCTGAGGCTGCTCCCGCTGAGCGAGCAGCCAGCCGAAGTAGTCCGACATCGCAGAGTCGACCGCCTCTGGCGTCCGGAGGCCGAGGTTCTTGCCAGCTGCCCAGGCTCTGAACTCCGCGACCTCGGCCTCGTAGGTGCGCAGGGTGCTGGGCGCGACGCTGCACTCCGCCAGGTTGCGGGGCTGCGGGGCGGGACCGTGTTGAGCAGCTTGGGGACGGGCGAGTCGTTGTCGCCTGCCTTCGGGTCGCTGCCTGGGCGCGGGCAGTGGCCCGCCACTGCTGACAGACGTAAGCGATGAGTCGGCCTGG